GCTGCAGTCTCTGGATAAGGCAGTTACCTGTATCTGCTCAAATTATCTTAGTCTAGGTAAATCTCCACTGCAGATACTAGCTGCTCCTCTCTGGTTTGAGCACCCACATTCCCAAAGGTGCTGTTGCTCTGTGGTGTCCAGGGTTGACGTCCTTGAGGCTGCTTTTGTACCCCCAGTAGGTTTTTGGCAGTAAGTAGCTACTTATCCTCTGAGTTGGAAATCCCCAAAAAGGCAATGAAGAAACTGCAAAGTGAGATTGAACTGTTTATTAAATAAGAATGGCATTTTGAACTGAGTCTAATTACTGCAGTGTCTGTTCAGGATAGGCAGCTCAAAAGATCCCTCATGAAAATAAAATGTTGGTGACAAAAATGTCCCTCTTCAAAGGAGAGATTATGGTTGTAATATCCAAGGGTTCTATTTGAACATGCTAGCATCTTGACATGCTAATAGTCAAACAGACAGTGAAAAAAAAATTAACATAAACTCCTTCTCTGTGTAAGAATGAAAAACATGAATTAAAATCAATTAATCCATTCTGACAATAAAATAGGAGTAACTGGATCCTTACTTTGAGTTGTAGGAACATTGGCTTGTCTACAAAATCAATGCTTTAAATATATATGAATTAAATAATTGGTCAACTCTTTTGGTTATGGTATTTTTCTCTCCTTCTGCTTTAATTAGGCAAGAAAGTCATTACACGAGGCCTTTCTCCATTAAATCCCCTGATCTATCAGTTAATTCACCATCTTGTGCCTGTAACACAAATTCCATTTAGGTTTTCCCATGGGACACAAATATAATTTCAACACTTATGAAAACAGATATGAACAGTATTTTCCCACAACACTTATAATTCATTTAAGAGTCTTCTTTTTTTTAATGCACTACATGAAGGCTTGAATTTTCTTTTCTGCATTGCCTTTAGAAAGTTTTGCTGGGTAAAGACACGACTGGCTAGCTGGAAACAGCAAAATATGTTTGAAAAGGCAGGTTTTAATTACAAGTATTGGGTTTTTTTTTTTGCTGAGTTGCTAGTAATTAGTGAAAAGTGATGTCATCTGACCAGCAGAGATTTGGAGCCTGATGTCAGAGATGGAAAAGCCTTGTGCACACTGTTCTAAACAGCAGGACAAGGACTTTCAGGTTTAAGAGGAATAGCATTGCATTTGGCTAACATGAGCTGAAAGCTGTGCAAGTGGGATCAATAACTACTGTGACTTCTGCTGTTAACACTTGACTTATGAAGATCACCTAATAGCATTGATTTTTGATGCTCTTATGTAGCTGGGTAGCTTGTATCAGTGCTTGCTATCAGAAAAAAATTGCAATAAGAAAAGAAATTGCTTATCAGAAAATTAAATGTGTGAACAAGTGGTAGCCACCCACAGAAATGCATGACTGTCAAGATTTTGATTAAATTCTGTTTACAAAAAAAAGTCATATTTTAAATAAATCAAACCCTCTGCCCTGCCATGAGAGTGTTTAGAACTGTGTACAGGACAAACTAACTGCAGGTTTTTTATGAGGCTGGCACTACAACTATTTATATGCCTAAATTATCAATTTTAAAACTTTACATGAACATGTGTTTTACATTTTATGCAACCAAAGTAAAACTTAGGCACTACTGCTCAGAATAACATCTGGTAAATGTCTTACAAAATAGATGAGTTTTATTAGAAAAATTAATTTAAGAGAGAGAAACAAATCTTTTGTGTAAGTTTTATTAGCAAGCTATTCAGAAGAGAATTTAGGGAACAGCATTTTCATGGTTCTGCATTTGGAGGTAAAATTGCTTTAATTAGTTATGGTAAGTGATCAATTTTGCATGCTATGATTAGGAGGACAATTCTAGCAATTACATATAGGGTAAGATGTCCAAGTGCTTGAACATCTGTTCCTAATTATCAAACTTACAATATAGAAAAAGCTTACATCTGTATTAATTTTGTATGACAGAAACCCAAATCCAAAATACTTTATTGTGATCTTTATGTAAAAATACAAATTCTATTTTTAATATAATGATTATGCCTTGTATTTTATGAGATTTATTATCTTTCTGATGCAAAAAAGTCTATATTTTAGTATGAAGGACCTATACTTGTAGGATAGGAATAAAAGGCAGAAACACATCACTTTAATTATCTTAAGTAGTCTAGAAACATTTTAACTTCTTACTCAGGAACTTAAAAAAAAAAAATCTTGGTTTCTGTTTATTTGTTTAACTTGTATCATATATTAATCTAAAGCAAAAATGGAGGACCATAATTCTTGAGAGATAAAGCATGAGTTTTAAAATGTATGCTCACTAAGTTGCTTAAAATTTTTCCACTCCTAGTTAAGGACTTCCTAAATAAAAAGGCAAGGAGATGAAATAAGATAAAGCAAAATCACACTCCCCCATGCTGAAGACTTCAAACACTTTCTGGCATTCTTCTTTGTCTATATTAATAATCAGTTAATGTCTTTGAGAAAGAAAAGACATAGAAAAGATTTTGTATTCTTATTGATCCGAAACATGTAAGAAGAACCAGAATTATGATTTTATTCTGTTTATAAGTTTTTTTTTTTCTCTGATTCAACAACTTAAATAAAAAAACCCCCAAACTATACACACACAAAACACATCTAAAGAGAAAAGTCGACAACAACCCAAGACAGACAGCTGTGCTATCTAACTGGCATTTCAGTAACTGCTGAAAGTCAACTGTAATTTTTCTTGCCAGCTAGAGATTTCTCAGAAATTAAATTTGCCTGTACTAACAATTGCACAGCGGCGACTTTAATTATAAAACCCAGGTAATAAATGACTGCTCATTCATTAACTAATAGAACAGGAAAAGTGACAAGTCTGATCCCTTATACTGTCTATCTTCAAATATCTTCTTGTTTTGATTTTTGTTCACATCACATACTTATTTCTTGTTTTCCTTGGAAGTTGTGGGAAAACTAGAAATGCAAAAACTCAACAACTGCAAACCAGCAGGGAAGATACTTTAAACACTTTCTGGCATTCTTCTTCATCTATATTAATAATCAGTTAATGTCTTTGAGAAAGAAAAGACATAGAAAAGATTTTGAGATCTGGTTTTATCAGTAGAAGTCTCTTTAATATTGAGAACTTTGATTTCTTGTCTGTCAAAATTTATGTTTCTGACTGTTATAGTTCTCTGGCTTGAAATCCCTGGCAATACAGTTAACACGTCTATGGCTCCAGTCTTCTGATCAAAATTACTGGATGGATTACTGTTTTTCTGGACATATCCTCTATTTTATTACAATGCACTATTTGGGGCAGACTTATTTCTCCGTCATCAGGATTTACTGTTTAATTCCAGAAGCACTGAGATACACTTGGGAGAAAGGGATATGGTTTATGGGGAGGAACATCTGCTTAAAAAAGAAGTAACTTTTAAATGGATCATAACGCTATCTATGGTAATTTTCTATTTAATTTCAAACATAAATAGTTGCATTGCATATAGTTCTTAACTGACCAATCCAAATCAAAAATGGAAGACAAATATCTCTAAAATGTGGAAATATACATATGGATATCTGCACACTCCGATTCCTACAAAGATGTTAACAATTTAAAATTCATTGAAATGCTGTTTTACAAAAATATTATACTCTCAAAATTTATTGTTTTCCCTTCTTTGTGCTATTTATTTACCATATTGAACTTCTCTGTTTACATAATGAAAATCTCAGTAGTTGCCTTTTTTACCATCATAGCCATACTTAATTCCAAGTTCTTGATAGTATGATACTTGATAGCCATAAATTAACTGCTTAGTGCAATATTGTCAGACTGTGCATGAAGTGCATTTACTAAACAACTTTGCTCTCCTTGCATTCTGCTCACTTGCTAAGTCCCTGCAGGACAGTTTGGAACAACCTAGGGCTCCTCAAGCAGCTGACAACATGCCACAAACATCCATTGCTTTACAAGAGATGCACCACAGGCCAGTAAAAGCTGCAAGTTTAAGGTCTGGCATTCCTCAGGAGCTGCTGGAACAAGATAGGAGCAGTTAATCCTATCAGGAAGCTGGCAATCTCATTTCCCAAAGAGCCACTTTTACACCCAAACTGCTTTAGGAAAACCTTGATAAAACACCTGATTGTGGCTGAGGTAGCTGAGCTCCCTTAGCCATAACAACACTTATAGTGTTGTTTTTTTCCCCAAGATGAGGATTTGGAAGATACTGGCGCATCAGATACTCAGCCTACTACAAACAAAGCAATCTTTAGCAGATGTTTAGACTAGTCAAAGCCTTCCTGGATGCTTATCACACATTGACTAATTCAAACCTGTTCAGGCTGGATAGCTGGAAAGGGAGGGAAGATACCACTGACATATCATTAGAATGGGTTGGAAAGGACCTTAAATATTATCTAGTTCCAAACACCCTGTGCTGGGCAGGGATGTCACCCACTCGAGCAGATTGCTCAGAGTCTCATACAACCTGGCCTTGAACACTTCCAGGGATGGGACATCCACAGCTGCTCTGAGCAATCTGTTCCAGAGCCTCAGCAACATCACAGTAAAGAATTTCCTTCTTACATCCAGTCTAAACCTCTTCTCTTTTAGTTTAAGTAATTTGCTCTTGTTCTATCGCTATCTGCCCATATAAAAATTCCTCTCCCTGTCTTTTAAAAACCCTTGTAAGTACTGGAAATCCACAATTAGGTCTCCACAGAGCCTTCTCTTCTCTCAGCTCTCTCAGCCTGTCTTCATAAGAGAGGTCCAGCCCAGATCTGGACCCAGCACTCCTTGTGGGGTCTCACCAGGGCAGAGCTGAGAGGCAGAGTCACCACCTCAGCCAGACAGCTGGTCTTCCTTCTTGTTCATCAAATTGTTCACTCCTGCCCAAAGGGGTCAGTCCCAATGGTTCCCATCCTTCCAGCGCATCTCACTGGACCTAAGGTAACTCCCTAAATCACTCTTTTTTTTTTTTTTTCTTTTTTTTTTTTTCCTCAAAATTGCTTTTCTGCCACCTTAGCAAAGGAAAACAGCCATCAAGGAGTACAAAGTGTGCCAAAGCAAGTGCAAAGAGAGGTGTGGGGGGAAAAGGTGCTGAACGAGTTGTTAGCTCAGCTCAAGCCATGACAGGCACCTTTGCCCTCACTCCTGCTGTCATTGTGACATAATATTAAGGGTGATGACAAAGGAGCTCTGTCAAGTCTTGTAGCTGCCTTTGGAGGACCCATCACACCAAACACAGCTGTTCTGCCAGGAGTTGATTCCAGCACAGCAGGCAAAGGAATGGTACAGCTGCTGATGCCTCAGCTATTTCTGTGTAAAACTAAGCCCCCAGTGAGGATGGAGATAAGGCTCTGGACTTTGCACTTTTGAAGGGGCTGAGGCAGAAACACATTCTCTTCTGCCAGTGCTGCAGAGGAGAGGCTGAAACCTGCAGCAGAGGGATGAGAAGGACAAGTGGGGTTAGTGACCTCTTAGGAAGCCATGGCAAGGTGTGGTATCACTGGTGGGTCATCCCTATACAAACACTACCTGCCCCTTGGCCAGACGGGTTGTATAACCATACCAACATTGTCAGAAAAGCACCTTCTGAAGGCAGAACTATAGTTATTTTCTCACTAGATCATGAGACATCAGCTCTAAAATTATGCTATGAGGTATTAAGAGTGCTGTTTTACAGTTTCTCACTGATATAAAGAATACTCTTCCCTTGTTCCCTTTCTCTTGTAGCTCAGCCCTTGGCACTGAAGTCTGGCTTTCCAGCAGGAAAAATCTGAAAACAAGACTCAAAATGTTTAAAACTCCCTGCTCTAAAAAGTGTGAAGTAGCTCATCTGTAAATTCTCTTGTCAAAAAAGTAGCATTAGTGTATAACTAATATCCAGGCTTGACTGACACCAATTATTCTAATCCTCTAAAACAAATCTCCTTAAAATCATTCTGCCAGCTTGCTACTGTCCTGTTTTTAGTCTACTGAACTCTAATGTGTGCTATACTGGCAGTGAAAGCAACAGATATGCAGGACTCAGAAGTTTTCAATATTAGATGAAATGGAAAATAAGAAAACAGAATTAATTTTAGAAGTGAAAAAAAAAATACATTGTAAGGATAAACAGAGCTTCACATGGCAGAGGGATTGCTCATATATAATTGAATGATGTAGGATTTTTAATTAAAATGTGGTGACACCTTTCATGCCTGAGATGCACAGCACTGTAAACAAACTTTATGCATGTCCAAAAGAGCAGATGATGTGAATTGCCTGATTTCACACCCTCGGTCCTTTGTTTGTGAGCTGTGCAACACTTATATTGTACATGCTCTCTGATAGCTTTGTTTGGAGAGCAGTGGAGTGGTCACAAGAAGTGCTATGGGAGGTTCAATGTCTGGTCCTGTTCCAGCTCTTTTATTCTTCTGGGTGGTTCTCACACACTGTAGTATACACTGAGGACTGCTTTTCCTTTTTGTTGTCAAATTCATGGCTTAGCTTGGGAATTACTACAGTTGCAGCCTAGCATCTCTTGACTCAGCTTTGCTACCCCTAAGGGGAATGAGAGAGCTTTTGAAGAGTGTCTGTGGGCTAGGCAGGAGTTTGTCCTTTCTTGGTGATGATCAAGCTGTGTGATAGAGACTGATTGAGGTTACAAACTACAATGAAGGAATGAAAATGTTCCCGGGTGCAGTCTGCATGTATGGAGAAGTTCTAACCTAAGCAATCACAAACTCTATCACACACCTTCATTATCATCATCATCAAGGGACAAAGAGATGAAGTAAAATAGAACCAATAAATAAAAATAAATAGAATCAGTACTCTTGTTCCTCCTAATGATTTATCTTCACATGGAACAGTAATACATCTGACTGCTATTTAAAATGCTAGTATGAAAAGTACATCATGCTTCAAGCGACAAAACACTTTGATCACCAGAAAACCTGATTTGCCAAAAGGGCAGTGAATGCCCTCCTGAGGAAGACATGACATCAATGCTGGAGGAACAAATGTATTTACAACTCTGTGAACGTCACTCTGCAACTGGGGCTGTGGACTCAGTTTTCTAAGACAAATATCTAACTCTCTAAGGTGACTTTTTCTGATGGAGATCTGGCATCAGTCTAACTCATAATTTCAAGCTTTCGAAAAGAGAGAAATAAAGCTGTAAAGACCAACTTCAGCTACTGCCAGAAGACATCCCTCTTAGTCCTTGACTTGTTCAAGTGGCATCATTACATTCTGGTACAGGACTGTATTGTTTGCATGTGTGTGCAAACAAGAAAAGGAGAAAAATCAAAGGGTTTTGGCACATAATGACTTTTATATAATAAAGATGTGTAAACAATACAATAATGCATCAACAATATTTCCTAATGTATGCAAATTTCATAACGTTGAGACTTTGCAATTGAACTAATCTTACATCCCTTGCTGATTATGACAACTGCTCTTAACCTATCATACATTACTGATTTTTCAGATAAGCATCAAGGGATTAATAAGATTCGTAATTGTATCTTATTAATTATAACCCCACTTCAATGTGAAGTGTGTACCTAAATCAAATAAGGTCCTTTGATAGTTCATATCTCACCAGATATGAATTTATCTGATATAATGTTTCTCGGCTCTCGACAGAGCTGTCAGGGAATAACTTTAGAGGATTAGACCTGTGCTTAGTGCTATGCACTGAGGGGTAGATACCACTGGATTCAAGGAGAACAAACGTGGAATACGTGACCCGCTCATGCGTATGCCGGGGCCTGGAGCTGCAGCTCGAGCAGCATCAGCAGCACGGATTGCTTGTAATCCCTTCAGCATTCGCGACGCGAAGGGGAAGAAAAGAACCAGCACAAATTTTGCCTTTTTTGGGGGTGAAATGTGCCGGGTTCCAGCCGGAGCCGTGTCAGTCCCGCTCCGTGCCGTGCCATGCCGTGCCGTGCCGCTGTGCCGGGCGCTGCGCGGGCTCCGCGGGGCACATCCCCCATGGGCAGGCACATCCACGGACCGCGTCCTGCGGGCTCCCGGCTGGAACTCAGCCCGTGGGGGTGCGGAGGGGTGCGCGTGTGTCAGTGCGTGTGTGTGCGCGGAGCCCGCGGGGCCGCCCGGGACAGCGCCGGGGCCGCCCGGGACAGCGCCGGTGCCGCCGAGCAGGACGGACGCGCTCGGCGCACGGGCGGCCGCGGGGCTCTGCGGCATCGGAAACTTCACAGACACCGACCTGGGCACGGCCGTCCTGTCCCGCCCGGCTTGGCCGCAGGCAGCACCTCTCCGCAACGTGACTTTGCTTTGGTTTTGGTTTCAGTAGAGGCTTCTCTCGTTTGTTTAGCAAATCCCGGGCGTGTGTGAACGGAGCTGAGCGGCTGGCTGCTGCTCGCTTCTCAGGAGGCATTTTACGCGAAAGCATGCTGCTCTGTCGAGCAGACCCAACAGCGACCGCGGGACCGTACTTCGTGGCCGGCCGCTGCAGTGACAGTGTTACCGGCAAGGCGCACGCGGGGGAAAGGCGAGTTTTGATTAAGAACGAATTTTGTCACGGTTTGACCGCAGCTGTCCTCTCGTGGCACGAAGCCGCCGACGGTCCGGGAGGTGTTGCCTGCTACCGGAGCCAAGCAACCTGGCGGGCCCTTGGGGATAAGTAATTCACGGGAAGTACTGTTTTGCTATGTAAACCTTTTGTAAAAGGTGCGTTCTTCGCCCAGAAAAACTGTATCTGCCGCTTAATGCAACAGTTCCGTCTGGTGCTGAAACTGCCGCCGCGGTAGGCGGAGGTGAGAGGCGGCCGGAGAGCCCCGGCGGGGCATTGGCAGAGTTCACTCGGACCGTTCCAAGAGCTCCGAGCGGCGGAGCAGGGCGAGGCGAGGCGCGGCGAGGCGCGGGGGTCGCAGCCGACATGCCAGGCGAGAATTCCTCAATGGCGCTGCCCACGCCCGCTCCGGGGGCGCGCGGCACCGCGGGCCACGCCCCCCGCGCACGTGCGGGAGCCCTCGCCGCGCGTTCCCCGCGGGCCGGCCCCGCCCCGCCACACGCGATTGGCCGCCCGGGCCGCCGCGGGCGGGAGGGGGCGGGGCGCTCGCGCCGGGCGGCCCCGCCCACGTGCGGCGGCGCGAGCACACATCCCGCACGTAGCCGGCGCGTTAATCAGCGCGGGGCCATCTGCCGCCCTCCTCGCCGCGGGCGGGGACTGCCCGCGCCCTTCCCGCACGCCCCGGGCGCTCCCGCGCACTGCTGGGGCTCCAGCGGCAGGAGCAGCAGCGCGGGGTTTCGGCAGCACCGCCGCTCCCGCAGCGCCGGGCCGCGGTGCGTAGCCGAACCCGCAGCGGCCAAAGTTTTACCGCGCCTCGCCTGGCCTCGCGCCGCGGCGGAGCCCCTGCCCGGCTCGGCCTGGAGCGGACGGCGGCCCCACGGGCATCGCCTCCCAGCGCGGGCGCCTGCAGGACAGCGGCGCGCCCGTCCCCGCCGCGCCATGCCGCTGGGACACATCATGAGGCTGGACCTGGAGAGAATCGCCCTGGAGTACGTCGTGCCCTGCTTGCACGACATCGGCTTCTGCTACCTGGACAACTTCTTGGGAGAGGTGGTGGGGGACTGCGTGCTGGAGCGGGTGAAGCGGATGCACCGCGACGGAGAACTGGCCGACGGGCAGCTAGCCGGCCCCAGCCGCGGTGTCGCCAAGCGGCATCTCCGCGGTGACCAGATCAAGTGGATCGGAGGCACGGAGGAGGGCTGCGAGGCCATCAACTTTCTCCTCACGCTGATAGACCGGCTGGTGATGTACTGCGGGAGCCGGCTCGGCAAGTACTACGTGAAAGAGCGATCCAAGGTAAGGGTCCGCGGGGCTCCGTCCGCCCGCCGGCACGGGCTCCCAGCCGGCCCGACCCGCCTCGCAGCTGCCGGCGGGACCTGCCCCAAACTTTCCACGGGCACTCGTCCGTGGCGCGTCGGCGCTATCGGCGGGTGCCCGTGGCTCGGGCAGTCCCGTGGGGCTGTCCCGCAGCACCGCCCCGGGTGGCGGAGGCGCCGTGCGCTGCCCGAGGGACTCCCGTGACGGCAGTCGCTCTCCAGCCCTTGCCGCCGGGTGCGGGGGTCCCGCTGAAAGCGGGGCCGCCCCGTGCGGGTCCCTCGCCCCGCCGGTGCCAGCAGCGCTCCGGGGCGGCTCCTCGCAGCTCCCCTTGTTGGGTTTTCTCCGGGCTTTTCCGCTGCCGGACCCCATCCAGTCCCTTGCCTTTTCGCCTGTGTGACACCGGCCATCCCTTCGCAGCCGTCCCGGGGGCTGCAGGTGGTTCCTTGCTTCTTGCGGTGGGGCTGGAGCCGACTGCGCTCCGGTTCTCCTTGCGCTCACCCCAGGTGCGGACAGGGTGGACCAGTGCGGGGCGTACCCCACCACAAACGTCTAACCGTGGCTGTTTCGGGGGGCGAGCAAGGTCTCCACACTCTCCCTGGGAACGTAGCCGGCTCTGATCCGATTGTTGTTTTCGCCCATGTATTATCCTGAATAGTTTCGCGGTTCCGACTCTTGTCGCCGTTCTACAGCTGAAGAGGTTATCGTTACTGCATTGAGTATGCCCAGAATACGGGATGTTTAGTAGTTTGAGCACAGCAAACTTTTGTTTTAAAGAGACAAATTGTTTTTTCTAGGCTTTCTCAGAAATGAAGGGGACACTTGTACTATTAGTTTCTTTCCCGATGAAGTTTATTTGCACTTGCAATGCCATTAGTGTGGGGTTAACTCGTCTTTTCTTTCCTTGTCTGTTTTGCTACGGCAAAGTGTACTAACTTGGATCTAAGTTTACTTTGTTGTCCTGAATGCTGAAAACATCCTTATTTCCTTATTTCTGACTTGACATAGTACATTTTCAAAAGGTCCGCTGCTGTTAGAGATATGCCAGAAACAAAAACAATGAAAGTTTTTAAAAATTACAATAGGGAGAAGCTAGGCATTTCTTTTGATCCTAACTCGCACTAAGGGCATGTGTGAGTGGTATTGGGATTCCCCCTGAAAAATGATGAAAAAGGTACAGTGATATTTACCAGTTGCTTGGGAACACACTGAAACCTTTGCATGCATCCCCACACATTTACACACGGTAGTGAGAATAATAAAAGTTGAAACATTGTTCCTTATGATTAGCTCTTTATAATTAATGATCATCAATTCAGTTAAAGCTTGGGTAGGTATGTTTTAAAAATATGGGTAGTTTGGATTTTACTTATTCCTGTTGAGAGCCGTGTATTAGGAGGCACAAATAACCATCCTGCCTTGGCACATCTTTAAGGTCATCCTTATCCTTTCTCTGGGTGATTTCTGTTTACTACTGAAAGTGCATTTCTGGCTAAGGGGGTGTGTGCAAGGGTGGATATTGAGGGGGGTTATTTAAAAGCTGGATTGGTGTGAAAGGAGGCTGTCCAGACTTTTTACAAGGTATTTAGAAAACAAATCAGCCGGATGAATGAAGGCTGTTGGTGCTGGCTGGGAAGAAGGGTCTTTTGGGCAATGGTTTTGGGTTGTAGAGATGGTTTTAAAACAGTTTTGGTGTTTTTGAAGGCATTCTTGTACAAATAGTAATAAAAAATAGAACAAAACTTGTTTTATAAATAGGCAGCAAGCTATTTACTATGAAGAAAGACCTCTGGCTCTTGTGCCTTAATGTGAAAGTTGTCAGACTCCAAACAGCACATGGAAGTGCTGCACAACAGTCCGGGACTGAAAGGGACTCAATATCTCAATATTGTTTGTAAAACCAAATGCAGAGAAATTTTCATCAGTCATTAATAGTAACCAATCCACTTCTTATAGTAATAAGTACCATGGGTAT